GGCATACGCGTGTGTATGTATGTATGGATGTGTGTTTGTGCGTACTTGCATAGCAATGAAAGCAATTGATGGTCGTCTGCCTCACTTCGACGCCACCATCAAAAAGTTTAACAAAGCAAACAAAATTGAAATAAAAAAAAAAAAAATAAAAAAGTAACAAACAGCAGCAACCGGGCCGGCCACCATTCACCCGCCAGCGTGTCTACGCTAAACCTAATCTGATAAATTGCAATTTGATTTTAATTTGAAATTTTGACAAGCTACAAGCGTTTGGATAACAAATAGCTGCATGATAGATAAACGGAAAACAAGTTGATAGAACATCGTGAAATAACAAATTGAAAGCAGAGGGCATACGCACCAACAGACATACATACAACCATCAATTGGGAAGCAATGTTGGAATGAATTTACGAATTTCAAAAATTTAAAACAGTTTAAAAGTTTTTGCTGCAAATCTTCATCGCTCGATTGATAACAATCAAATGGACCAGCTTAAATCCAAGGGCTATTTTCATATCTTGATTTTATCTGTGGATAATTGTGTTTTGGTTTAGGCCACTGAACTGGAACAAACAAAAAAAAGAAAGAGAGAGACGAATTCTGTTGCGAAAATGTGAAAAAGCTGTTGCCGAGAATTTACTTTTGCAGCGGAATTTAATTGATTTTGCGTGGAATTTTTTCTTCAGTGGGATGAAATGTTTTTACTCTGTGTATGCTTATGGCGTAGAAAGAAAAAATTGTTTTTAGATCGATTAAAAGAAGGTAATTGGGAAAAAAAAATTTTGGGCTTTTTTGTCCATAATTCCTCTCTAGCTGAGGAAACTACATAGAATAACATTGTAAAGAAATCCTTTATTTTAGGTCTCACAACCTCAATGCGGTGTGCGCCTTTATGAAATCACACAAAAAAAGGGATCTACAGCTTAATGCTCCCTAAGAACGAAAAATATATTTAGAAGAAGCTTTTTCAAGTCATAAAGAAACTCTGAGTGTTTTTTATTCGCTGTCGCGTACCGAGCACTGTTAAAAAACTCTTCTTTTTGGATGTAGTTCGGAACAAGAGTCGAACTTTTGTCCTTGCGCTCCTTTAACCACTTAGCTAAAGCAACTTCCAGTAGAAACACTCACTGCTAAAAAAAACTTACATTAAAAATCAGATGTAGGCAAAAAAAAGTTAAAAAAAAATAATAATACTGAGATTTCTATAAAAATCAGATGTAGGAAAAAAGCTAAAAAACAACAAACTCAATACAAAAATTAAAAATTAAAAATTAAAAAAAAAATAATAATTGGCCTCACTAACTGAACAAACTGCCAGTTCATTCTCTCATTTAAATAAAAAACTTTGTTTTTAAACCGATTTTTTTTTTAATTTTCGGTATTTTTATTTAAAGTACTGAAATGTTTCTTTCCAAATAATGAAAGAAATTGATAGTCAAAAGAAAAGGTTTTGAGGTGGGACAAGTTGTTTTCGCTATTTTGATCGATGATCATATATCTATATATTTTGAAATTTGTATTATTATTTTTATTGATAACTTTTTAATAATAGGGTTCTCAATACATATTTGCATCATCAGTAGAGTTGTTCCTTTATAAATATTAGTTTTATCGACATTTTTATAGATTGCCGGTGATACATTAGACTTTGAATTTTACCAAAACAACTAAGGCTCAGAATTCTGCACAAAGAATATTTTGGAAACAAATTAAAAAAAAATTTATATTGAGTTAAAAATTAGGTGGCAACCCTATAAAGAACATGTTTTGAGTGTATATGTACTCTGCATACATATGTATGTATAAAGCTACATAAAATATGCTCGGCAAAGTTAGTAAGACACAAATTGGAATTAAAAAAAAACGTGGCAACACTAAACAATAATATTTCTGGATGAAAGCACTTAAACTTACCTTTCATTGGATATCCATATTAAGTTGTAATAGGAAAATTTAGTGGAATCGAAAATTGGTGGCAACCTTACACTAATATCCTAAGGGATGACATTTATATAGGCAAAGCATTGTTCAAGAGCTTTCTTTTCGTACACATAAGGAGTATTTTAGTTTCCTAATCAAAAAATTAAAGAAAAATGTCAGCGGAACATAGGTGGCATCTCTATAAATAAATATTCCGGAATTGGGAATTTTTAAAATACCTATATCCATATATTTTTTATTTTTTTATTTTTAAAATATATCCATATAATTATCTTTATTCAGTATGTAACTAATTTCGAATAGGTGGCAACCTCATCTGAATAAAAAATTTCACCAAAATCTTTGTTGCTACTCTGTGACTGCTAAAATGTACAAATCTGTACGAATGCACAAATCGTGTGATCCCTGCTTTAGTTTCATGCAGTGTGGAATATCGCTTAGAAATCCCTATTCCATTTATGGTTGATCAAAGTATTGACGGTAATTAATCAAGCGATCGAAGAATTTTTGTTGGATCGCCTAGGCCAATCTTGATTAAGTAATGTTTTAGTCAACCACAACAAAAGTCTAACCTGTGTTCAACATAATTTAAAACACAAGAGACATTTCATGACCGACTATCCTAGTCGAAAACTCAACTGAGAATGTTTCTTCACTAAAAGATTCCTGGGTTAATTGAGGCGATCGGCAGTCTATTGACTGAAGCCTTTGATCGAGCTCCTGGCTCCTCTAGACGAGGCCTTGTACATCCCTTCAAACAGCAACTGGTTCAAAATTTTATCTTTGCATAGGGTAAATATTTAGTTCGAGTGAAACTCAAACGTACCAGTGCCTTCGGACCACAGTATTATAAAAATTTTAAATTACAACTTCCTTGAAATTGATGGTTGTAGGAGATTTCCCTTTCACTGCCAAAATTATGAACCACTTTTCCAAATTTGTTTTTCTATCACCTTTCGAAAGGTATATGCATATTCACATATATACACATATCATACATATTGTTTATAGGTACTAAGTTAGTAGACAAAATAACCCACACTAAAACACCAAACTGGATTCCATAGCGTTTCCGATTGGTGACATCTGCCACACAGACATCATTTTCTCTTGCAGCAACTTGAAGCAGAGTGCGTGCAAATATTTGCTTTCATATTCATTTTAAATAGGAAAAAGCAAAAAAAGGTGGTAGTTGCCTATGCTATCGTTTAGAAATCAACACGCGGCATAAACAGCATCCTTTATGCGTAAAATTTCATTTTTAGTATTTTGGCAACACATTTTGGCCTCACATTTTGGCCTTCGATTTCCCATTTTCAGCTATTAGCACAGCCGCTGATTCGCCTGCTACACACATTTTTTGATGGCAATGTATTCAATATGTTGTTAGACAAAAAAAAAAAATATCCCAATAAACATTGGGCTTGGTTAACAATTCGAAAATGATTGGAAAACTAATCTGTTTTTCAAGTCTCACCTTCGATAATGAATCTGGAAATAGGTTACTATTCGATTCGAGAACTATGCCATTCTCCAGCAAAACAGAACCTTCGTTATCCAATGTATTTTACCTTCATTATGAATTCGAAATCCAGCCCATTATCGAAGGGAAATTTTAATGAGAGAGTGTGATTGTCTTATATTTCCCTTTGAGAATGAGCTGGATTTCGAATTCATAACGAAGGTAAAATGCGTTAGATAACGAAGGTTCCGTTTTGCTGGAGAACGGCCTAGTTCTCGAATCGAATACTAACCTATTTCCACATTCATTATCGAAGGTGAGACTAGAAAAAAGAGATTCATTTTCCAATCATTTACGAATTGTTAACCAAGCCTAATAAATATTGGTTATACATTTTTGTTTTTAAAAAAAGGAAAGTATATTTGATTAACGTTTAAGTATAGTTACTTTTTATTTTAGTGGTTTTTGTAATTTTTTTATAAGAAATGCGTTCATTAAAAAAACAAATTAATTAAATTAAGAGATCATCTTCGGGANTCTGTAAAAAAACATGTCTCCCACCTACCACCACATAGACACTAGCTAGCAACGTTCGTGGGCTAACAGCCTAAAAGGCTGCTAAATTTCATTTTATAGTCAACATTTGTACCCATTGCGTCCGTGTTTCTTGCTTCAAAACGACAATTGGCAACAAACCTACGCCAGGCATGTAGTCTACGCCTCCGCAGTGATGAAATTTACTTCTCTACTTTTTCCACAACCATACCATCTTGCAGCGTAAACACTACCGCTTGCCGTCCTCACACACAACCTCAAGTGCTGCCTCACCCATTTCTGATAAAACTTTTGTGCTGCTTGCGCGTCATTTTGTCGTTAGCTGAGTACGTTTTTGTAGGGGTTGACTTTTTATGTATCTTTTCATATACATATGTTGTCATTGAGTGACTACTTAAGCACAATTTTTGCCAATTTTTAGCAAATTTTTTGTTATTTCGCCTGCTTGGCAAATTTTGCATAGGCAATTTCACGCATTTGCGCTAATTTGTTTATAAGAGCGCGGATGCGTTGTCGCTGCCAGTAGCCGTAGTGGTTGAAATAAACTGTTATTTTACTTGCCTAAAGCACATGGGCGGGGTTGCATTAAATGTGACACTCAAGCGTGGAAAATTTGTTAAAATCCATATTTTACTTAAAATGAATATTTGAAAACCATTTTGGCGTAGTAAAAATCGAATATTCATATTCCTCACAAGCAGTCATATCTACACATATGTTTGTATTAGTATGCTTTCATACATACACACACACACATGGACATTTGATTATAAGAAAGTATAGTACAAATACATTTATGCTCCTTCCTTTATGCTTTCTCAAGCAGCCCTATGAATATTTATATGATTTCTTTTTTTTCTTTGCCTTTCCACATGTGCACAAATATTTACTATTCTACCCTTATTTCCATATTCTCTCCAATGCTGTTCATTTTTTCGGTTATGCAAACATGTTTACATATAATTTGCCCCTTCGCATATTAATTTGTGTGTGTTTTTTTTTTCTTTGCAACTTAAAATTCTATTTTTGGTTTACTTACATCTCACACTCAAATAGTAGCCAATCGATGAGTATTGAAAGTTCAAATGTCGTGACGTGCATTTATACCAGCCGGAATGTTCGTGTCGTATCGATGTAAAGTTTAGGAAACCATCGCCAGTTTGGGGGACCTTGGGGGAAAGAAAAATAGAAGAAAAAAAAGAATTAAATTTGTTTGTTATTCAACTGGAATATAGAAATAGAGAGGACAAAAATAAACAGTAGAAACCAAATCGGGGCATATGAATTGCAAATTCTATGGAAATTTTTAGCTTAGTGCTGTAGGTAAACGTGAAAAAAGATCTCTTATTTATTAATATTTTTGGATGAGTAGACATTTGTTTTATGTATGTTTTTACGTTAGGGTGGTCCTTAAAAATATCCCAATTTCGCATAAAAAGCGATAACAAATAAATAAATTTACAAATCTGTATACAGAAGAGTTTCTTTCTTGCAAAGAGGTTTAACAGCACTTTACACACATTAATTAGGGTGGTCCTTAAAAATATTAGTATATATATTTTATAAGGGGCACCCTCTTATTTTGTTCTACGTATGTGCAATATAAATAATACATCCAGGAAAATTAAAAAAAAATTTTAGGCATCATTACCAGGGTTTGAAAAAATTTTACCAGCTATAACTCAAAGAATATATGAATTTATGTTAAGTAATAAGTTTCAATGAGGTGTTAAATTTGGCAGGTATCAGTTCAAAATTTTGTCGAATTTTTGCGTTTTTTTTTTTAATTTTAATTTTATTATTTTTTTTTTAAACCCTGGTAGCGGTCTCTAAACTTTTTTTTAAGGTTTGAAATTTTCGTCGATGCTTTTATTTTTTATGTAGAACAAAATAAGGAAGTGCCCGATAAAAAAATTCTGATGTTGATAATTTAAGAACAACCCCGAGAGTTTTTCAAGTTTGTTTCTCTTTGTTTTATTTTAAATAAAACTGTATTAAAATACGTTATGTTGTTCTATTCTAAAAACGAAGTTGAATTTTCGGATTCGATGCTTTAGAAATGTCCGCTTTTTGTCAACAGAAATCTGGTCACCGTAGCTATACCATAAAATAGTGCGCACGGCCGTCCGATTCTCGCTTATGCCGCACTTGATCGACTGGTTAAGCTTTGGGCATATTAGAGATGACTCAGTTAATTTCATCCGAGAAGATCTTGGGCTCCCAGGAGCAAAGACTTATTATAGCAATGCAACATAATTTCAAGAATTGACTAATTTCTGCTGCTATTTTTGTTTAACGCAAATACGGCTTACGACTAAAGTTCTCAAAGATTTTCATTATTTTAAGCATTTAGTAAATTTTTAAATTATTTTAAATCCTTTTTACCCTGAATATTTTCAAGTAAACGCTTGCAAAAAGGTTTTTATTGCAAGTAATTAAATAAGCTTACAATTTTTGAAAAAAAAGAGTATATGTACTACCATTTTTTAGAATAATAAAAAGTGTTCATATTTTAAGCAATTTTTTTGCATTGAAGACGTTCCCCCCCTTTTTACTTTTCTATAAAAAAAAAAGCTTACTACTTTTTTACTACTGAAATTTATTTATTTTTTTTTTATTCTGGCAACAATATTTTAATAAGTTTACTAAGAAAACTAAAAAAAATCGACTACTTTTTTAGTACTAAAATTTATTTTTATTACGAAAAATAACGCATTTTCGATCATTTACAACTAAACACACCTACCACTTTTTACACAAGTTTTTCGTTTTTCTATTGCGATTGTTTATTCCTGCTTGTTTAACTTTTTAATACCCCTCAACCAGCCACTTGCATTTAATTCGATAACCGCATTGTTATTTAAAAAGCTTCTGAAACTCTCAAAACTCCTACATAAATACACTTTACAACTAAAATAGTAACTTTAAGCAAGAAGAAGCTTAAACACACAGACGGAAAGATAACAAAAACCCCACAAACAAATAAAACAACTATGAAACCATTGAGGACAACTACGAGTATAACGACAAGTGGCAAAACAAAATTTGTCGCGAAAATCTGTTACTGTTGATTTTCGGTTGTCGGCAGGATTTTTGCCTATACCTTTTTACACTTTTTTGGTACCAAAAATTTTCATGTTATTTAACTTTGCCACAAAGTAACTACAACTTAAATACATATAAAACTAACAAAAAGGGTATGGGTAAGTGAGGAATACACATAAACATATGAATCTGCTTATGTCCTCAGTAAGCAGATGCAGACATTGTGAATTCCTTTTCACCATAATATGCGTACACATACGTATGCATATGTACTTATCCATACATACATATTTGTATATGCTTCAGCTCGTCTAAGTACTCTAAGAACTCTCAAAAAAACTGTAACCTTCAAAATCGAAAGGATTTTTGCTGCGGCTGCTGGAATGAAAAGAGCAGCTAAAACCATTTTTTATAAAAGAAAAAACGAAGCAAGTCCATTGCCCCTTTTTAAAAAATTACTTCCAAAAAAAAGGAAAGAGACGTTTTAATTTATTCTATTATTTATTTATTTTATTTGAAAAAAAACCGTAGTTTCTACTAGGAGATATTTTAAAAACTGGAAGCTTTTCTAAAAACTTTGATTTACAGTTGCTACAGTGAAAATCGTAACACTGCTCACTGCGAAGATAGGCTTCTATCTACTTCTTGTATATTTTCTATGAATAAGTATATAAAAGACGATCAAAAATTTTAGTCACTTTGAATAAAGCTGCTTAAAAAATGTAGCAAATATTCTACCTAAAAAACAAACGTAATGAAACTTGCAGCGTAATGCTAAAAATAAAGTCAGCCATTGTGGTAAATAAGAGTGCTTTTTAATTTTTTGGCTTGAAAGAAGTGATAAAAGCATTAAAAATTAAATTTTCATAAAATTGTTTTAGTACTTTTCTACTACTATTTTAAATACTACATTTTCAATTCATTTATCATATTTTTTAAATTTAAGTAATAATAATTTTTGGGTTGAGTGAAAAAACTATGTAATTTTATTACATTTTCATACTACTTTTTTAGTATATAAATTTTTTTAAGTTTAAATAATCACTTTCACTATAAATTTCACTACTACACTAAAGCAAAAGTTTAGATTTCTACAAAAGCATTGAAAAAAAAAAAATTTTCTCATATTTCACATAAAGCTATGAAATGAACTTTACAAAATTTCATTACTAAAATTTATATCTCTGCTTCCTGCTTTATTTCACTAAATAAGTAAAAAATTAAACAAATGTTTAAAGCTGTTTTTAACAATTTTTTCTACTACCTTTTCGGCTACTGTTTTTCTCCAGCAAAAGAGTCTCACTCTTAGGCTCCGAGAACGGCAAAAAATGGTTTCCTCGAAGCCTAATTTGACAAGGGATGGTGGAGAATCGTTGCAAAAAAACCACTTATACTGCTCTTTCACCACTAATTGTTTGACTCTCTTGCGACTATTTTTAACATTTCAAGTTTAAATTTTTTGAATAACTTTTCTAAGCTCTGTTCTTCTCTGCTACTTTCTGTTAATAGTACTGATCATATTTGTTTGGCTATTTTAACAATTCTATAACCTATTTCCTTAGCTTGTTACTTGGTTGGCATTCAGTAAGTTCAAAATAGGTTTGGGTGGTTTCACCAAAGTAATTTAATGCGTACAATTTTCCTACATCAATAAGAATTTTTTATTTTTTTATTTTACTTATACTGTGCATTACTCATTAATTAAATAAATTTTAGTTGGTTTAAAAAGCCAAATTTGTCTACAACATTTTTAACTACCTTTCCTACTACTATTAAAAAAAAATGTTTTTAAAAATTTTCTTCTAAAATTTGTTTTTTTGTATAACTTGAATTCTCATTTCATACAACTTTAATTTAAAGGATCCAAATATTTGTACTGCTTCTTTTACTACGTTTTCTTAAACTATTTTAGCAGAATCCCTTTTAATTTTTTTTATATTTATGCAGCATATTTACTGCTCCTTCCATTAGGTTAAATTTACTGCTGCATTTAATTTAATAATTTCTATACATGTTTACTACCTTTTTACTACTATTTATCCAGAAACATTTATTAACACTTTATTTTAAAATATGTTCTTAATTCCATAGACCAAAATAAATAGTCATGTTAGTATTTAATACTCCACACACTTATATTTCAAAAACTCCCAAAAATCTCAAACTCGCTTGAGTCAACCTCACACTTAACCAGAAATCTAGTGCTATTTACCTACCCCATGCCTTTACAAAAATTACATACTTTACGCGTCTGCACGCAAACAGCATAGTCTACTTACCGGCGTATCACCATCGTCCTTCTGCCAGCGCGGCGTACTTGGCGGATTCGAGTCAACATCGCATTTAAGCGAAACTTCAATGCCTTCGCGCAGCGGATAACCGAAACCAGGTGTGCGTGAAATAGCAAATGAGGGCGTATCTGTAAGAAGCAAAATGAAGTAGTAAATATCAAACGAACATATATATGTACATACATACACACAAACAGAGAAAGAGTAGAGTAGGGAGATGTCAAATTCAAATAAAATCATGTGTAAGACGAAGGATAGCAGTTGAGATGCTGCCGTGAAATTTTGGCCAAAAATCAGCCAAAAGTGTGGCATACAACTAGGCGCTAGAGGAATAAAACACGACGCAATTACTCTCTACCTACTATTAAAATGCTCAGCAGGCGTTGGTAGGTGTTGCCCTCATACGATTCGGTTGGTTTTACACCGTTTTGTCGCTTTTTAATTAAAAACTTTATTATTATTATTATCATTGTCAGCGGACACACACACACGCGCACGAACACAGATTTTGCTGCCGAAAAACTTTTATAATTAAAGTAAATGTAAATGCGGCGCGTGTTAAGCGCACAACAACAAAAGCAAAAATACAATGCAAAAGCTTACAAAATACAAATGGCACAACAACAACAACAACAACGAAAATCAAATACCAAAATGACAACAAAAATCAGCGAAACAAAAGTTATCTCCTTCAACTATACTCGCTTACAGATGTATTGTAAATTATAGTTGTAATGGCAGTTGCTCGAACGGGTATGACGCGTGTGTGTGTGACTGGGTGTGTGTGTGTGTGCAAAGGATGCAGGATTTCCGCCTACTCAAAAGTTGTAGTTGCTTTTTGTTGCGCACGAGAAATCTCGTTTCGGAAGGCGTTTACTTGGTTGGATCGCTATTTAGCGTACATACATTTGGAAGGTGGAAATGTAAGCATACTTTTTGGCGTTAAAAGGTAATGAAGGCGGGCAGTGAAGTGGAAAGGCACTAATGTTACTGAAATGAAATTGGTGTGATTACAAAGCTATAAATTTGTGTGTATTTATGGATGATTTTGAAATGAGTTTTGGGTTTTTGTTTAGTGGGATTTGGGACGGAAAATTAAGTTTTTTTTTTTAGAAGCGAAATACCAAAATTTGTATAATTTGAAAAATTAAAGCGAATAATTGATTGATCGGAAGCAAGCGCTTTCCTGTTTTCGCAGTTTTGTGCAAAATTACCGAAGTTTCGAAATAATGACCAGACTTAGCAATTGGTAATTAAGACTTTTTGCAAATGGTCAACGCCATTGTTGACGCTAATCGTCAGCAATCGACATGAAATAATCTTTTAAACAGGGCAAAAAACAACTCCTTGTTGCATTTCTAAGTGGCTTCTCTTGCGTCAGAATAATTTGTGTAAAAGTAATTTAAATGGAAATATCTTCATGGAATAACAAAATGTAAATTTTCCAATGCCTCTCAAGTGAAAGTGCTCGGTCTAAGATACATACATACATGAGCAAATCTCACGAGTTGTTCAGTTTTTCGACAAAAACATGTTTACGATCGAAAATGTTGTGGAATAATGGAATCAATGTAATTTTTTGAAGTGAAACTTTTTTAGCGGCGGTTGGTTGGTTGGAAGTAAATTAGCAAATTCAACGGAAATTGCACACGAAAATGATGCAACGGAAATGGTTGGGACGGAAACAAGTGCTTTTTGAATGTATGTTATCAATTTAACAAAAACTTGCTAATAAAAAGTTAAAGAATAACACTTAGAAAGATAGAAGAAGAAATATTAAAATAAAGGTAATTATAGAGAAAAGGGTGCAGATAGAGACACAGAGACTCAATCTGGGAATTATTTTGGGATTCTAGAGATTTTCGGGACTTGTCGATATAATAATCGACATTTTTATCGGTTTTGTTATCGACATTTTTATCGCGTTTGTTATCGATCTTGTTATGGATAATTTATCGATTTGGTTATCGATTATTGATCGGTTTTGTTATCGATTATCTATAGATTTTTTGTCGATCTTGTTATCGATCATTTATCAAATTTTGATCGATTTTGTTATCGATTATTTATTGATTTTGCTATCGATTTTGTTATCTAAATTTTTATCGATTTTGTTATCGATTTTGCTAACGAAATTTTGATCGAATTTGTCATCGATATTGTTAGATGTTGCTATCGATTTTGTTATCAATAGTGTATAAAGATAAAAACGAAGATAAAGGAAAACAGAATAACATAAGTGTAATTAGAACAAACTGGGGTAGAAGTAGGGATCTAGATAGAAAAAAGGAAAAAATATAATCTTAAGCAAAAGCAGATGTATGTAGGTATATATGTACATATATATGTATATTGGTAATGAGACAAAATAGATATTTAACGTACGTAAGTTTCACTTCTCCAGTGTGGCCCAGACGCACTTACTTTTTTCTCCATTTGGTGGCACCTAGTATCATTAATCTAAATTGTTTCGTGTTTGCAAGAGGAACATTTTTACCGTTCAATGATAAGGATTTGAAGTAACTTAAACTTTTAAAATGAAAAAAGCTTTAAAAATTATAAAAAAGCCGTAACAAATATTCTGCATGCTGCCATTTTTCTTCAGTTTGGTGTTACACTCTTGAAGCTGCACAGGTATGTTGTATATGATGCCAACTTTCATTGCCGCTAACATGAATATTTTCTTTTAAAACTTCACAAAGTTATTAAAAAAAAAATGAATTTTTCGTGTAAAAGTGAAAAAATAATAATTTCTTGATTTATTTCTTATTGTACTTGTTTTTGGAACTCCATTGATTGAAATAAATGCAAAAAGAATGCTTTAGCATTTTTTTCTGGCGAGATAAGGGAGTGACACTAAAAAGAAATACAACTCGTGGGATTTGATTTTAAATTTCGAAAAAGATGGCAACTCTTTTCGAAAATATTTTCAAAACTAAAGTTTTCTCGTTTGAAATCCATATACAAGAAAAAAGCGATTTCGTTTATCTTATTAGTTAAATGGGTTTACAATTTCAAAACAGAAGGCAAACGTCTTCAAAAATCTTTTCGAAATACAAATTTTTTAGCCCATTTTGTTTGACACTAACAAGCCTATTCTGCGTTGGTAGCAAAAATTTTGTTACGGGTTAGTAAAGTTACTGTAAATTTTTAAACCCTTTTCCTATTCTCCACATCCTTGTAACCGGTAAATTTTGTTACCATCTCATCAGCAGGTAACAAAATATTGCCCCGTGAAATATGCAATACCAGAATTTACACAAAACTGAATAAATTAAAACGTTACCAAGGTAAATAGAATTGCGGTTACAAGAAGTGGTGACAATTGTTGGTAACAAAATTACCTTGTTAAAAATGTTCAGTTACAAGCAGAATAGGCCTGTTACTATCTTATGTCACCTCTCTTAGAAAATTTCTGTTTTGCATTTATTTAGTGCAATCAAAAATCAACAAAATCACACCCATCCACTCAATGCCTATCCAACTCCATTAAATGCTCAAAGCACATGCATGTCGGTTAGAACTTTTCACTACTATGTATGTACCTTTTCAACTTCCATTTGCATGCAACACTCGTTACTGGCTTGATATGGTTACAATGACGTTACAATGCCACCGTGTGTTGCACGCTAATGAGAGTTTAATAACTTTGCCACTTGATACTTTCAGAGTTACTTCACTTTACTTACAGATTTTTGTTCCGTTTTCTAAGCATCGGCAGTGTGGCACTTTTAAAATCTTGCGCAGCTTTAATGTAAGCTAGCTGTCGATTATGTGTGAAATAGCTGCGATAAGTTTCTTTTCTTTTTATCAAAACAAAAAAACAAAAAAAAACTTTTAAATCCAGTTTGTAGCAAATATTTGCCACACAAATTATGTGAAATTTTTCAAGACGCAAGTGCAAATGCTTATAAGATTGCCAGTGTCATTAGCTACTTTTTTTGTTATGCTACTTTTAGTGGATTTAAGCGCAACTGCATGAAAGATTTAAAAAATAGGGAAATGCGGGTTTTTTTTTATTCTTCCCACTTTAGTGATATGAGACTCGCGACCACCTCTATTCTAAATCGAAAAAAGTTTGTCACATAAATACAATTGCTGCCTTCTTTAGATCAGCTACGTCAAAATGCATACAGCAGGAGTATCGTTTTAAAGCTTTCTATATACTTCATATCCAGAGGGGCTAGGTAAAGCTTTTATTAAGCTCACGTCTACAAAAACTGTATAGAAAGTTTGGAAAAGCTCTGCACGTGCGTAGATTAAAAGCTCTCGCTGACCGTCACGGCTGCATATAAAGCTCATATTTTGCTTAAAAGCTTTCCAGCGAGCTTTTCTGAAATTATGAGCGTACTTTTTCGTTGACAGAGGTGTACATAAAATTTCATTTTATTGCTTCAAAATTGCTTTGTAGCTTTTTTTAAGGGTTTGGAGTTCTTAAAAAGTTTGTGTAGTTTTCGTAAAAAATGGTATTTACTTATTTATATGTGTTTCCTTTTACTACATATACAAAATTTTTGAGCTTAAAGCTTTTCTAAAACACAATTTTTTCAAAGCTCCTAAAATTATTTAGTTTTTTTTATTTCACATTACAAGACAATTACATTTAAAAATAAAAACTCGAAGAGAACCAACTCATATTGGCATAATTTAACTAAATTAGCGAATAACACTGAGAGCTTTTGACTTATGTTATGTGTTAACTTCTCCTCCGAGCTATGATTTTTTGTGGCTAAATTTGATACGCCCTCTCTCACAAACCCTTTAAGGGTTTCATTTCACCACAAAAAGTATAAAAAGGAATTTTTGCAAAAAAAAATTGCATTGTTCAAAAAATTGTTTTTCTAGAAATGGTTTCCTCGCAATAGTTTACTGGCGCTTGCATTTTTAGTAACTTTTTCAAATTAATGAATATTTTGAAAATCTTTGCAGTTTTCTCTAGAAATTTCTGTATCGAATATCAGAAGTTTTGAATTTATTATATACCCATATTTTTAAAGCCTTTGATCTTTTGCATGTAAACGTTTTGAAGCCAAAGTGTAACCGCTTTAAGTATATACTAATATCCTGGTAATACTATTTCAGTCGCTCTTTGCTCTCTGGTAAAAGGCTAATGAGTAAGTAGCATTTAAATGTGGTTGGTAAGTTTCAAAACGAGAAATAGCGCGGCTAACAGTATGTTCCATCGAATGTTTTGGTTAGTGTCGTTTCTTTCGTGCCCTGCAATGGAATTCTCCGACGGCTAATAAAAAAATGTTACTCGTATTACATTATTATACATATATTTTTTTGTCAATAACAAAATTTCCTAAGTACAATTTTTGAAGTCGAAAATATGTAGGTTTTATTCGCTATTTAAGCTATTTGAGTTCCCTAGCAGCTTAAATCGAACATTTAGAAATGCTCTACATAGCTGAAACTCAATCACCTGCCAATATTTGCGCCCAAGAATATGCTACACACAAAAAACTATAGTAGTTATTTGAAAAGTTCAGCATCATCCTGCCTACAATTTCAAAATTTAACACTTCTTTTTGCTATTTTGCTACCGCTTCTCTTTTCCCCCATTACTTACATTGCACGTCGAGCAGCAGCGATGCATTTTGGCGTATTTTCAACGTCGGATGCTCCATAACGCACAGAATGCGAGCATTGTGATGGGCTCGATAGACGGCCGGCAAGCGGGCCTCACTTTTCGCGCCGCTATTGATTTTGTATGAGTTTTTATCCTGAAAAGAAAAAAAAAAAAAAACAAGTGAGAAAAGCAAAGATAAACAAAGTTGCGAACAACGAAGAGTTGAATGTATGTATGTCTAAAAAAACAAAAGAGAAAAGCATGGTGTTGGGCAAAAATTTTTCAAAAACATTTCGTATGCAGTGAAAAATTTACATGAAACACGCTGAAGCCTCGTATGTTACCATCCCCACACCCGCCAACTGCCCCCAACTACCAATCCTCTTAGGACCAACATTTGTAGGTGTCGAAAAATGTGCATACATACTACATATAAACGCAAGGGAGCACTACACACAATCCAAAAAAAAAAAACAAAAAACTTGTGCATACCACACGTGCCTGCCACATGCATACATACGCACACGCTCTAACAGCAATAGCATTGCGAAAATGCCACTGTTGCATTTTTAAGGCAAATTCCTGTAAAGCCACATCAAAATGCAACACAAAAATGCAATGCAAAATGAAATAAAAAAAAAAATGCGAAAAAGAAAAACGCAAAAATGAAGGGCGAAAAATTCAGTGAGAGTGAGTGGCGCAGCGAAATGGATTGGGTAAAAGGTTATGGGGCCAAGCGAAAATGGATGATAGCGTTGAAATACTTTTGGCAACAATGTTGCATTTTTTATGTTGTGGGTGAAATGTGTGAGCCCTTTGAGAGCTGTTGGCAGGCAAATTTTACAAAGCCTAGCAAAAGGCGTGAAAGCGCGCTGCTTAATGTCAGACGGGTTTCAATTTGGTACGAATTAGTTGAGGTTGATGATGGCGAGGCGGTGAAAGCAATCGATTGCAAAAGACCAGGGGGAACACAATTCTGCGAAATTTGGAGTACGTGGCGTGACACGCTTGGAGTAAAGCAAAAATAAATATGTACTTAAATACATAAATTCAAGGGGTAGAGTAATTGAGGACATTGAAATTGGAATGAGTGAATATAAGTAACGGAAAATTCAGTACAAGGAGACGAACAATGTCTAAGTGGGCTTAATATTAAAAAAAAAATCTGCACATAGAACAATATAGTTGGCTGAATTGTGCTGAATTGCACGCTCGATGACTTAGCTAAACAAACACGGCTAATTACACGGAGTTTCGTAGTGCTTAATAGCGCTGCACGCATTTAAACGATTTTAAAGCTTTCGAATCCATAATGCGTAGTTTAGGAATAGGTTAACGTAATTTTAGAAAGATTTCATTGACTTGAATTAAGTAAGCTTTTAGCCAAAGAAGCAGTCCTGTCGACTTGAATAGTTTATTATTAAAAAAGCGAAGTTATATTTTCCAAAGTCTCTTGCCTCCAGAAATGCACTGAGCGGAATTAAGTCGAAGGGCGCTGAATGCAATCATTAGCTGCTTATTTAAACAAAAATGTTGCTGAGTAGCATTTTTTGATACCTATATTTACAAAAATTTGCTGAGTGACATCACACACTATTAACTCTCCACCTGTAAGCTTTTTAAACGAATAAAGTGCACTTAGATATATCAAAAGGGTTAAGTAATTGAGGATCTTAAAGCTGGAAAGCATGACTAATATAGTTTTGCTGAATTGCGCTGAATTATACCTAACTAAACCAAACCTGCAAAACACAAATTATTTTCTAATGCTTAATAGCGCTGAATCGATTTTAGAACTTTCGAAGCTAAACTGCGTAAGTTTGAAATTTAGAACGAAATTTTAGAAAATTTTCATCCTTAAATAAGGTAAGTAAGGTTTTAGCTAAAGCAGCACTCCTGTAACTAGAGTAGCTTTTTTATTTTAAATAAACCGAAGCTATATTTTTCAAACACTCGTGATTCTCGAAAACCACTGAGCTGAATTGAGCTGGAGGAATGAATAGAGTGCAAAACTATTTAATCAAACAAATATTATTCTTTAAAATATTTTGTATTGGCGCTAAATGTTGCTGAATAAGATTTTTTTAATACTTATTTTAAAAAAAAAATGTTGAATTAACTATCTTCGTGTTAGCTCCTTAAAAGAATTAGACCAGGCGTTTTTATTCAAATATATATATCTGCTATAGCTAGAAAATTGCGCAAATGAAAAATATTTTGCGCAAAATTAGATACATGTCAGTGGCAGATAATTTCACAATTTTCTCAAAAAGCTCGACTAATTCTAAAAATATAACCGCAATCCAAAGCAATTAGGTTCAGTTTCAGTTTAAGCAAATACCAAAACTCATGCGCTGAATTGCACAACTGCCAGCTGAATTGCGCTGAAAAGAGCAACAAAACAATCGGCCTCGTTTTTTTTTCATTTAATTGCCTATTTAAAACTTATAAAGTCTGTATTTATTGGAAACTTTAACAAATTTGAAATACAAAGCATTCACTCAACCTGAAATACGCACTCACATGGAACAATTAAATTTTAAGACAATACACATTAAAAGACAAGTACGCAATTTGAATGGGTTTGATATTCAAACGCCTGCGTATTTAGTTTGATTAGTTTGATTGGTAAATTTCTGTCGAAGTCCTTGCTTGTGTTTTTGTTTTCATTGGTTGATCTTAAAGTTAGGTACGCTAGATATATGTATCTACATATGTGTACAATTTAGAGATGACCACATCGAAATTTCATTAGGCAAATGAACCAAAGTACAACCGCAGTCAAGCAATTTGAGAAAAACAGATGCAGAGTGTCATTCGAGCGGAAGTAATGAAAAGTGAGCGAGAAAGAAATTGATTTTCAAACAGAAACAGACGAGTGAGTGGAGCATAGAGTTGGGGAGAATAAGTATTGACCATGATGCATCGTCACGCGTGGCTGTCTGCAGTGGTAAACATTTTGTGGTTGCCGAATATCGTACGACCATGTGGTTTGAGTGCATAGAGAGTGCCTTGAAGCAGAAGAGTGAGTGAGACTGTTATTACTGTAGAGGAAAAGTAATTAAATAACTAGCTACAATTTGGGTTTAAGAAAGGCTTGATTGATTTACGGTACTAAAACTGAAATATGACTGCGTGATTTCGAGTGCACTAAGTTTATCCCGCACGAGAAAGTAGTTTGATTTAGCGTGAAGAAAAGTTAAAAAATAGAAATCCAGAAATTCTATAGTTTGAATCTACCTACCAATAGGGATGTTCCGATATAAGTAAATACGAGTATGTACTCGATACTTTTGTTTCAATACCAACTACTTTTTTTACTTGAATCGTTTCATCGATACCTACTTAGTATCGAAATAAAAGTACTTGTATCGAATCGATTTGAGGAAGTGCCATATCTTTCGGTCATATATTTTCTATGGAAAATAATTGCTTCGCTTTTATGAAAAAAAATTGATCTAAGCAATGGCACGCCAAAATCTAAAGAGGGGATATATTTTTACAAAGTTCAAGCAATGCCTTGTAGCCGTAACGTTTTGTGGGAACCTTTCAAAGGTTTAATTTTTTGTCTAAGTAATCGTATTACTTCTAATGTTACTAATGATCAAATAAACATATCGATACCTCAACTGAAAATATATTGAAAATATTTGAGATAGGGCGCTTTGAATCGGCAGCTGAGGTAGGGCGTTTTTGTACCGAGTTCTGAAAGAGGGTAGTCTTGAAAAGTTTTCTGATATAAGGCGTTGTCAATTAAATTCTGGAATAGGGTGCTTTTGAAAAGTTTTCTCAGATAGGGCGCTTTCAATCTGAACGCCTGAAAATTACTTTCGCTTTGTTGCATATAAAAGGATGAAAAGTTATCGATATAAGTAGGTATCGATACATTCGGTTCACTCATATAAGTAGTATCGAAATAGGGATTTGAGTAAACTAATTTGAGTAGGTATCGATACTTTGATGGTATGGGAACGTCCCTACCTACCAAAGAGCTTACTAGCTGACATGTGGCGAAGAGAAGTACTACACCCGGCAATTGTATTCTTTAACTGAACCAAATAGTAGTGCGGCCAGAAATATGCAACATCAGATAGCTAAATAGCATGTTCGATTGCCTTTTAAATCGCTATGCACTTCTCAGATGATGTATAAAATAATATTCTTAAGACTTTGATTATGTATATAGTCGTTTCTCTTCTGTGCCAACTGATGCCAATTGGATGTGCCAAGTCTTTCTGTACCTGATGTTTCCAAAGCTGAGGAGGTGTTCCTCTTCTTCAGTTACCAGCATCGGAGCTGGAGCGTTTCTGTCTATATGACTAAAATACTGGAATTATTGCAAGAAAGAGAAATCCTGAAAAGAGTGTAAATTCTGAGTGCTCATTATGGTTTTGTCATCCCTTACGGTAATGTCGAAGCTGATTAAGTAGTGCAGATCTATTTTATAAATATAGCTAATTTATTTTCGTTGTCTGGTCAGCGAAATATTACCGTAAATTGGGCTACTGATGAGCTTCAATCGAGCACCGGATCTCAATTTGAATCAGAATTGTATATATGTATATAGGGAAACTTTTCTACGAAATTTTTAGAAACTAAACTTAAATGGAGCGTATCATCTGGCTGCTATATAACCAAACCCAGAAGTACACAAAACTTGTCAGAAAAATCCAAAAACGACATTGCGAAACTAGTGGCGGCTCTTACAGCGCATTAACCGATTGGCACCCATGCCAGAAGACTGTCCCTCGCCTATAATAAGTTCTTCGCAGGCAGCAGGAATGTACATAAGTAAAACGCAAAGAGGGGAGTGACTATTTTACCGATATATTTATGGTAGGAAGGTCCTTAAGATATTAAAATCATGGGGCATCGTGTTATTTTGTTCTACGTACAAAATAAAGTCACCCACGAAATTTTCAAAATGTTAAGCAAGTTTTTAGTGGTTTCAAAATATTGTATATTTATTAAAAAAAAAATCGGAAAAATGCGACAACTCAGCGTGTTTATGAATTTATATGAATAAGTTCAATAAAATTTTGAATTTTAAAACTTCTAGTTAAAGTTTTATGGAAAATTTGCGATTTAAAGAAAAAAAAAGCCTTAAAATTTTGAAATTTTCAATGAAATAAAATCGCTTTATTTTACTCATAC